CCCCCCCACACACACACACACAGAAAATTTTGAATAAAGTAGATGCCATTTTCTGCTTTCTGGTGTATTTTAACGGGCTGTTAAACATCTAAGTTTACCTACATTTCTAAACACTTGATTCAATAACTTGGAGAGCAACAACAGATCTCTCCTTATGTGTGAATGGATCAGCTACGCTTCTGTCAAGCATCCCAACCCCCGTCCCCTTCCCCTCACTTCATGGTTCCGAGCTTGACTCCGCCACTGAATTCAGCCCAGCGTGTTGTTGCTTCTGCACCAATCTCGATTGCCACTGCCTTCAGGTGCTTGAATTCTCTGTTGTCCAACTAAGGACAATCCAATTTTTAACAAAAGTAAATTGGACTGTCTTTTCAACATTTTGATCGCGGTTATTTTGTCAAATTAGCGCCATTGTTTTGATACATGGTGTGAATAATACACATCAAACATTTCTCTCGTATATAATAAATAATCAAAATTTTATTAATTAGCCACTTAAACTATAAAACTGATTTACAATTTAGTTGTGCTGTTGAATTATATTTTTGAAAATTTTATTTCTGAGACCCTGCATCCACATATGGGGACATCAGTGTTTCCCCTAGTTAACTTGTCATGACAGGGTGCTCGGCTCATCCATGATTTTTGTTTACGTGGGGGCCAGAGACATGTCTGAGCACAGCTTGTACCAACAGTTTGGGGGCAGGCGTTCAGCATAAGAGAAGAGGCGCCTTTAGCGTTTTAGCTAGAACGCCTGTATTGCGCGCCACTATCTTAGCACTATGTCAGTTTGGTAGGCGGGGTGCTCAGTTCTGTTGATGGGGTGGGGCACCCCACTTGTATAATAGTAGGGGTTGAAACACTGGGCCATTACATTTTGGCTTTGCTGTACCTTATACTTGACTCTGTTCAATAGTGTTTTATACTTTCTTAAGCCATGTTAATGTTGTGTTATGCTGTAAAATAAGCCCATTGTCCCCATCTGAGGACATTTTTATTTATTTATTTTTTTTTTTACAAAAGTATGTCGTAACCATGCAACAACATACAGCTTCCTGTTCAAAGAGGAAGCTTTATTAATACACAAATCAGGTCCATCTAATCACACATATCTAGGAGATTTGGAAAAAATGCATCGCAAATCAGAGCTTGTGTCTTTGGAGGTTAAAAATGCACAATGACTTTGGACTTAGAGTTACCGGATCCAAACAAACAGTTGCCGGAACGCGCTCTGTCAAAATAAGAGTTCCTGGATCTTGTTCTGACATGATCTGTCTCAAATGAAGCCCTGGATACAAGGGTTTCTCCTGGGTTTCATCAAATGTTGAACTTTGTTGGCAAAATCAATGGAGTTCTCTATGTGATGAGGTGTGTTTCCAACAAGGGAAGCTAAAATGCCAGCCAGATGTTTTGCAGTATTATATGTCACCGAGTTCATGTTGCTGACGAGGAGTGAGCTGGCATTTGAATCTAGCTTACAGAACACCTCAGCTTTATAACTTGAACCCCACACTCCCTGTTCTTTGACTTGAGAAAGCTCCTCAGATGAGAAGCGAAATGTCTCCAGCTACAGAATAGAAGTCCAGTTGTTTTTGCCTTTAACCCTTTTTTGGGCTTAAAGGTATAGTTTGCTCAAATGATTGGAGTGGCCTAAGATTACTGTATGATGGCCAAAGCCACCATTGGCCACCCACTGGCTCCACCATTGCACATGGTGGTGAATAAAATTGCTCCCTCTTGGATTTTGCCTTGGACAAACAAAATCAAACACAAAAAACATTATCTCTGTTCTTATACACATATTGTGACTTCTGCCCTTTTGAATATCTTGTGCCCAAAGCATTTGGGTTTTCTTGCATTCCGTTGTTCGTTTCCTGTCCAGAAAAACACATCTTGAAAACTACAAACCTTAATTATTCAAATCCCTCAGCATCAGGGAACATCCACATACTGCTTGTTTTAATCTGCTGGACTACAGTTTTCAAATAAAGATGGTGCAGATTTAGACCAGTTTTTTAGTCATTACTTGCAGCATGGTTTTATTCCTGGTGTTTCTGTCCAAGGAGAACTCCCTTACTTGTGTCAAAATACAGCTCTAGCACTCTTGAGACAAGTTGGAGATGTTGGTGACAAACTCTCGGCCCAGTTTACACAAGACGTTTTTTGAGTAAAACCACAGCTTTTCTGCTGCAGTTCGTCCGTTCATTTACACGACAGCCCTTGTTCTCTCTGAAACCGAAGGTTTCTGAATCCAGGTCTCAGGGGACGTTTACACAATGCATATTT